TCGAAAAATGCTTTAGGGAGATCTCCAGTGATATTTTACGAAGAATTTAATGATTTTATGCACAAATGAAAGATAATTGATGGGTCTTCCCATATAACCTACACTGAGAGATAAGTTATCACTAAATACCTAACTGGGCTCCATTTTATTGGAGTCATTGAAATGGTCAAATTTGAAAAGGTCCGAAGTTTTTATTATCTAACCATGTTTTAGACCATCTGCGATGCTGGAACTTGGTATGGTTGATCATGACAAGGCTGTTAACCCTCTAATTTTGCTACCACATAATAGTTGATGCTATCTGGTAAAATGGTGCGTTTAAACGAACCATTTTCCAATTGCAATTGGTGCCTGCCATTTAAGCGATTGTTAGCTCGCGCATGACTAAAGGGGATCTACAGAGCCTCCCCCCACCCGTTTTTTTTAAATATCTTCTAGACCGCTAAGACTGCATCAATTGACACCTTGTGGCTAAATGGAAATTTCGTAGCTATAATAGGTTGTCCGGGAATGACGTTAGAGTGACGTCATGTTCCGCCCATTTTGATGCATAGCATTGAACTACGGTACCCTTATGGTTTTCATAAGCATATACATATTGGCTAGTGTGTAAACCAAAAAATGAACTTAATGTGATTTGTTAGCCGGCAGCCAGGGACCAAATTGTGAACCCGAACTAACCTGACCTGAATGGTGGGGTCATCGGAGACCTCGAAGTCAATAAAGAAGGTTTCGTCAGACAGCTCTTCTAGGGTTATATCAAACGCCGTTTGAATTCTGACAATCGGCCCAGTGATTTTGGATATAGGAGGGAGGGGGGGGGGGACTCTAGAGCCCTCCCCCTCCTCAGTCAACCACGTGATGGAAAGTAATGGAAAATATTCCAGGCATCACTTATTTGCTACTACTTTGGGTCGAAGAACTGGGTAAAAAAAAAACTATGAGCGTAATTTTTCGGAGCTATCCCGGTCTTCATTAAAATTATCACACTATGTTCAAATTACCCTACGTCACAAATTATTTTGCCATATTTAAAAACTAGTTTCAAAAGCAAATATCTTGGAATGAAGGCACTTATTAGTTCATTGTATAACAAAAGCCGTTGCGTATTAGGCGCTAGCAATGTCAGATTTTGCGCTGCAATGAAGTTGCAATGACCTGTTGTGGGGCGTTTTTACTTGCGAAATTGGTTTTCTTATAATGTGCGTCAACATCTCCATTCCATGAAACTTTAAAACCCGTTAATATGATAGCCCTTTTAGTTATGATTATGTCCCTCATTGGTCTTATTGTCGTGCCACTTATGGATTTTCCGTAATTTTGTGTCATTCATACTATGTTCAAGCTGCCCCAGCTGTTCCAATTATTTCCCACCCTATCCTTTCAATTAAATGATGCTCAGCTGAGAGTGAACGGTGCACATTTGTGTAGTTTTCAGTTATGGGTAGGACGGCGCGTCCGCAATATGATAAAGGTTTTACAATTGTTTGCATCAGCATTCAGCACGTAATAGTTCAACAAACATCCATGCAACGGACAAAAAGCAAACAATAATTACATACAATAAAGCATAGATATTAGATAGTTCATATTACCTCCACCATTGCCTGATCCTGTTCCTCTGAAGTGACGCGTGGACGTCCTGAGCGTGGGCGCTGAGCCATTCCAGCCTCGCCTTCTTCTTCAAAACGGGCCAGCCACTTACGAATGGTCTTCTCGGTGCGACCCATGCTTTCTGCGATTTCACTTATTCTTCTCCCCTCATTTCTTAACTGAATTATACGCCCCTTTTCAAACTCGCTGCAATGATACGGCATTTCACAGCGCAAAACAAATCGCGGAACGGTATGCAATCAAAGCTGGCGCGCTACTCCCCCGATTGTTGCCAAGTGGCTGAGTCGCTCGTCTGTCGCCTCCTTGTCCCGAGTTCAAGGTCATTACCCAATCGGGTCACCAATGGTCGCTTGCGTCAGCTGATTTCATAACACGCACAGTGGATGATGGGGGGGGGGGCGAATTTCGTCCACCCCTCCTGTTTTTTGCAAGTATCTTACGCCATTATCATTCTATTAACGTCAAGTTTTCGGTAGTTGGCTTAAAATTGAATTGCGCATCTTGCCGTTAAAGCAATGAGTAAATCGGTCTACAACTTTTTTGACAGCATGTGTGTCAAAGTCAAATATCCCGCCGGAGCGGCGTGGCGGCGCGGCGGCCGGCGCCGGCCGATTCTCGCTGCCGGCGCCGGGCAGTTCCGCCTTTGCATTGCGCTGCTTACCGCTGCTAATGATCGATTTCCGTCAAAGTCTCTGTGAAGACTTGGAAATGTAAATACAATCTTACGGTGAAAAAAAAGAAAACTAGCGGTAACATTTCGAGTTACGAGTGTGTTAACACAAATTTGTAACACTCTTTCCGCGTCGGCTGTTCCCCGTCTCAACCGGAAGACATCTTTCTCCTAACAGAGCTCTAATTGCCATTATTATGGCTGGATTAATTAGAGATTCTCAATATATACTTTAAAAAAGTGTATGTGTCGTCCGGTAACTTTTAGAGGTATGGGCGTGTAGTAGACACTAAATAGACCCTCATCTAACAGACTTGGACCCGTTTAACCTCATTTGACCTTGAAGATATTTACCTATTGTCATGAAAGTAACACACAATAGAGTGTCCCACCCATCCTTCAAAGTTTGTCGTTTTGGCTTTTATAGGAGCTGAGATCTTAAGGGGGGGGGGGGCGACAATCCACTGGGCGATGACCGTGACTGGGCGTAGTTCTCGGAACCCTTCCACGACAACCAATGACCTGGGACCTTAAAATTGGGTATTATTGGCTTCCTCTCGTCACGGGCAACACGCTCGTTTTCGCGAAGCTCTAGCTATGAAAAAATAACAGGTGCCAAACGGCAAGGGGGTCCAAGGGACCCCCTCCTATACGTTAGACGCTGGCAAAACACGAATACGGGCGAAGGTTAAAGGTGGCCCTTTTCCTTTCACGTATCCACGCTTACTGTAACGGGTATTGCGTTAGAAATTTCTGGAACAAGCATTATTCCTCATGCACTAGCCGAGTTATCGTAGCTGTGCTTCACAGCCACCATGGAGTCAAGCCCACACGCTCGGTTCTACCGCTCGGCCGCTGCGGGCCGAGGAAGTCGGTCCTCGCTTGAAGGCAGGACGGAGGTCAGCGAGGGAGCGCGGGGTCAGCCAGGTATCACCCAGTGCCGAGCGGGTGCCCCTCCCTCCCCTCTCTTCCCCTCTGCTCTCCTCCCCACCTCTACCGAGGTGGGGAGGGTCCGAACTGCCAATGACATGCGAGCGGTCAAGGCCACTCGCGTGGCAGCGCCCCTGGCGGCCGGGTGCCGCAACTAGGATTCAGCCAAGTTACCGATTCGCCTACCATGGGAGAAAAAAACTAGGGGACATACTTTTTAGACATACTGTACAAGTCCCATTTTCAAATGAAGGGAACGAATTTCTTCAACACCAAGAGGCCGCGGGGGTTGCAACCTAGATAGATAGTGGTTTCTGAACCTCGCCGCAAACTTGGCTATCTCAACTCAAATCCCATGTTAAAGGTGGGATAGTCCCTTTAATTTCTTCGCTTTTACTGACATATAAAGACATAACCTTTTGAAAAATTGCACAACAAGCCTGCTACTACACCACACTCCCGTGTGTCACAATGCTAATCAGCGGCGTTCACTCGGCTTGCTCCTAACTTACGATAATTCTCCCACTAGATGGCAGGCCTGAGCTCAATGTCTCCAAAAACTGCGAAGACACCAATCCATTATTATCTCATCCATGGCTTCACCTTGTAAGATGTCAAGTGTTTGATATGACTAAACATCAGGATCATGTGATACATTTTCTAGGGCACCTCGCCAAACACTGCGTCGCAAGATTCTTTCCTTTAATTTGTGTTAAGAATACCAATGAACATTGGTGATCATAAGTGTTTTGGGCTTTTTAGGCTCAGAATACGTTTATTGTACTTGTATTTACTAAAGCATAGCATTTGAAGGCACTGGAAGCATGTCCGTTCATTACAGGAAATGGAATAAAGACAGACTAAATCGAAAAAATCCCCACTGTGCGCTGTGTCACTGTCGTGTGATGTGTGCGCAACTACCCCGCGCCTGGTGGCTGAGATGCCAGATGGTGTTCACTGTTCAGTGCTCAACAGCAGGAGCTTGAGCTGTGTTTTGTTTATTGCAGAAATGAGCCTTGACGTAAAACTGCTCCTGGCCAAAATTGCCAGATGTAATGACTCCCGGCTACAGACTGGCTTCAGACTAGCAGAGCAAAACCAAAGGGAATGCGGAAAATCCGCACCATCTTATAGGGGCACCCTCTTCCAGCTCCGACCTTCTTTAGAATTTATTTGCCGCAAACGGCGACGCCTAAGAAAGGTTATACAAAATGACTCCCTATCATCTTTTTATTTCGGCTAAGTGCTTTAGCCGCCAAAGTTCCGGCCGTTCCCCTGGCCCCATGGGTCCGCCCCTGAGAGTGAACCCACTACCTCCCCATGGCCCCTGAGTGAACCCACTACCTCCCATGGCCCCTGAGTGAACCCACTACCTGCCATGTTCCGAGACTGACTCGGAACCCCTTAGTGAACCCACTACCTCCCATGTTCCGACTGACTCGGAACCCCTTAGTGAACCCACTACCTCCCATGTTCCGACTGACTCGGAACCCTTGAGTGAACCCACTACCTCCCATGTTCCGACTGACTCGGAACCCCTGAGTGAACCCACTACCTCCCATGTTCCGACTGACTCGGAATTCCAGTGAGTCCACTGACTACCTCTGTTCCGACTGACCGACTTCGGGAGTCCAGTCAGTGAGCCCGCTGAGTGTCTGTTCCCGAGTCCGACCGACTCGGGGTGGGCCGCGGGCAGGCGGGCGACGCGGCGCGGTTGGCTCTGGTTTCGTCGTGCCAAGGTAAAAATAGGCTGCGGCGCGGCGCAGCGCGGCGCGGCCGGCCGGCTGAGTGCGACGCTACTGCCGCCGGGAGGGGCGCAGAGTCCGTCTCCGTTCCGGCACTCCGGTGACGCAGCACCTGTGCCCAGCCGCCCGCGCCCTGATCAGGTGAGGTGTCGCCCGGACGCCGTTTAGCGTAGTTTCGGTGGGTGCAGCAGGCTCGGAAAACTTTTGAGACGCTGCTACATTTAGAAAAAAAAAACATCGCGGTGGTTAGCATGACAGAGACAGAGACACTCCGTGACTCCTGTAAAATGACTCAATAGAAAGGGGAAGAGGGTTCGTGCACACACTTTGGCAATGGTTATCAACAGCCATTAGACGTATTCATCAATGCAGTTCGCTTATTGTGATGTTGGCAACCAACTACTTAATACCTGGAGGGCCGTACCTAATTCAAAATGTTAGTTCGGTAATTAAAAGAATTGATTCAGTGTTGCACATAATCTAACTCAACAACCGAGCATTGCAGGTTTGAAGGCTTTTTGCCCCACCACCTTCCCTGGAAAAGCTCCACCCTTGCCTATGGGGCAAAACATAAGGGACAAAAACACAAAACATGACATAAAAACAAAACAAAATGAACTCACCACCTAATGAAGTTCAGTCTGGAGCAAACACATAGGTAATAGGTATCTATGTCAAATTAGAATGAAAGATTAAAATCAGCCTGACCAGGCCTTACGGTCTGACCTGGTCCTAACCGCCTTACTTTACCTAACTTAACCCAATTCAACCTAACCTACTACAACACCTGCAGAGGTACCTTCCTGAAAAATGACGCCCAGGGAGGTGTCCAACTTATTGGAATATTACCATGATTGCTTGTCATTTGCAAAATGTGTGTCATCATGCTCTTATTTGACAAGTGATGTATAATAAATGAGACATTCAAAAATGGTCTCCTGACTGTTGACTGTTGAGTGATCAGAATATTCAAATAATCAGGGTACAATGCTGTGCATCATAGAGCACAATAATCATGTTGTTTTTTGTGTAGGCCCTCTGCGCATTATTGTGTACACTGCTATGTGCACCTTAAGGAAAAAAAGTGACTGGTGGTACATGACAAAGGGTTGCGCAACTGTGAAATTCATGCCCTTGGTCTTGCTGGTGCCAAATGCCTATAGCTCAATAGCAGGATCAGTGAGGGTTGTAGACATGCTACATACACTGTGCATTGAAGATATTGGCACAAAGTTCATTCATAATTACTATGCTTAACACCTAATGTAAGAAGCAACATAAATGCCCAGATGATACAGCAACAGCTCTCTGGTCAACATCACACAAATTTATTGACATACTTTGCAGGTCATATTTACATTCATAGCAAATACTTTCGATTTGATTCAAAAGCTAGGTGCTAGCAAGCTTGCATTTTTGTAGGTACAACAATGACCATATATTAAATCATAAAAAACCTTCTGGCATTCATCACATACCTTTTTACCGAACAAGTACCTATCTACCATGCAATGATTCTCAATTTTGTCCGCAATCCACGGCCACCTAGATCTCAACTGACACATTGAAATTGAAATACCCTAACAAAACCTAGAGAACTGTACATAAGAAGAATGCAATACTACAAGAACTATGAAGTTCTGAACTTATTCTCACATGCTGGAATGTTGAAACTCTACTTTTGTCGTCAGGCACGTACCCAGGATTTCGCCCAGGAGGGGGCTACCTACTTTCGAAGGAGCCCCCCACAGTGTATAGGGGCCCCCCAGGTCACTCGGGGGCCCCCGGGACTCGGGAGTCATGCAGAACCTTTCGATGGTGGGGGAGGGGGGCATAGTGGGTCCGGTCTCTCCTGTAGATGACGTAGGTGAGAAAACGCCACGTGTGTGGGAAACGCAATTCAGTTCTTTACAACCTAATGTAGCATTTGGTTGTGATTTCTCGCGTTCAACTTCATCAAAGTCAATTAAAACGGTCTCTGTAACGGTCTAAGCCTTGAGAAAATGTGGAAAATTGGAAAGTAAAAATATGTTTGCTTGAGGAGTGTGCATGAAACGCAGGGCATTTTATGAGCGAGCGCCTCAATTACCGAACATCCTCCAATTCCGGATAATAGGTATATAATATAATAGTGTGGAATAAATGACTCGTTATCGGAATTCCACTATCTGGCAACTAGCCATATGTAAACGCAGCTATTATATGTTTCACTAGGAATCGAGCGCAATTGTACTTTTAGCCAGAAAATAAATGCTTGGGTAATTCTGGGACACCCTGTATTAATCGGAGGAATAGGACTTAGGAGGAAATGCGATTGCAAATCGACCCACATCCCTGTGTTAGCCAATGACGCCTTTGGGGCCAAGGTTGGGGGATATTCAGTTTAGCCTTTTCGTTTTTCTGTGATATCTCCGGCACCGTGAAAGATATTGGCTCCTTCAGATGAGTGCCTACTCCAGTCTCTAATCCCTACTTATATCCAGTAGCCAGTAGCCACTCAGATGATTTGGGATCAATCAGGTGATAAGCGTTCTTTCAGACGACCAGGGGCCCCCAGGCGACCAGGGGAGCCCGGACGACCAAGCCCCCTAGGCGACCAGGCGGCCCGGGAGACCAGGGGAGGGGCCCCCCAGTCGACCAGGGGTTCTCAGGCGACCAGGTCCCCCAGATGACTAGGGGCCCCAGGCGACCAGGGCCCTCCAGGCGACCAAGGGCCAATGAGGCCCCAAAGCGATCAGGGGCCCCAGGCGACCAGGGGGCCCCCATGCGACCAGGCCCCCGGCTACCAGGGGCCCCCAGGCAACCAGGGACCCTCTAGGTGACCAGCGGGTCCTTAGGCGATCAGGGGCCCCCAGGCGACCAGGGGATCCCAGGCGACCAGGGGCCCCCAGGCGACTAGGGGCGACCGGGGGCCCCATGCGACCATGCCCCCGGCTACCAGGGGCCCCCTGGGCGACTAGGGACCCCCAGGCGATCAGGGGCCTCATGCGACCAGAGGCCCCCATGCGACTAGGGCCCCCTAGGCGACAAGGGACCAAAAACTATCAGGGGCCCATACGACCAGGCCCCCGGCTATCAGGGCCCCCTAGGCGACTAGGGGCCCCCAGTCGATCAGGGGCCTCATGCGACCGGAGGCCCCCCATGCGACCAGGGCCCCCTAGGCGACTAGGGGCCACAGGCTATCAGGGGCCCCCATGAGACCAGGCCCCCGGCTACCAGAGGCCCCTAGGCGACCAGGGGCCCAGGAAACTGGGGGCCCTTGGATGACTGCATGGGCCCCTCGGGTAACCAGGGCACATAAATGAAACTTAAACATCAATTTTTCTTCCGAGTAAAAGACGTTTTATCCAGTCGGTTTAAAAAAATATCCTGGGGCCTGAGGGGCCCCCTGAGCGCCGAAGGCGCTCAGGGGGGGGGGTGGAGCCATGGCCCCCGTGCCCCCCCCCCCTTGGGTACGTCACTGTTTGTCGTCCATTTCCACGTTTGATTGAGCCATCGTATATAACTGTTTTCGCTCTTCAGTCATAAGCTTTTGCACAAATCTTGAATTTTACACGGCATCTTGATTCTTGAACCATGCTCCAGTCTTTCCAACAAGGTACTATGTAACATCAAAGCAATTTTGATTTGTTACAACAGCTTCAGATCATGATAGGCTTGAAGTTTGTTAACCATTTGCCAGACAAACCTCTACAAAATGTGTATCAATTTCCATACTAAGCAATTGATTATATCAGTAATTGCAGTTTCCACACAATGTTTCATAATATTATTTGATTTTATATCAAGAAACTCAAATAATCCACAAATTGTTAGTGAAACACTCTCACTTCAAGAATTCACAGCATTAACAATACAAGTTCAGAAGCAAACAAACATTGCGCCAGATTTCGTATGAAACGCGTCATCATCCTGAAGTTTCTACCACAGACGGTAGTTCAACCGCAGCCGTAGTGCAAAAACCCCTGCCCACCTTACCCCACGGCGGAGCTCGGTTGCAATTTGTAAATACGCAGGGTGCATACGGTCTCCTCATGAATTGCAGCAAAGAAAGAAAACAGGTCAGTCACCAAATGATCTTTCTGAAAAGTGGACTAAACGCAAGGCCTCCCACCGAGAAATAAATATTCAGCATCCGAAGCGTTTCGAACCGGGCCCCTCAATACCGGTCAGTACAGTCGATCACTCCTACGCTGAGCTACACCGGATGGTGGCTATGGCCGGGGCAAAGTCTGGCCGGGCGAGCGGCGGGGCCGGGAGGTCGGCGGCAAAGTCAATTAATGTTTTTGTGGGTTCGGGTGCCGGTCACTCTAGCTTGGTGGCATGATGATGGAGCATGAGCAAAATTTACAGCGTGGAGTCCCGGTTCGAGCCTCATCAGGGCTCCGGTTGCTTTTCCGAGTTAGGATGGTTTGATTGCTATTAGTGGTTGCGAGCCATTTATACGGTTTTATAATGTCGATTGATTGTTTGATTGATTGATTCATTCATTCATTAAATACGTGCCGATATTTAGCATACGCATTGACATCCAGCATCAATCTACCGTTTTCATAAACGTATTGCCTAAATATCATGCATAGGCGCAAGACCTATGGTTGCCTCGATACCGTGCCAAATCACGTTTTGCACAATGCACAAGTAAAGTAAATTATATTCGCTGGGTCTTCCGTGCATTGTGCTTATCAAAAACAGAAATGCAATTGTTAAGCGACGCAAAATGTGTAATGCAGGTCCAGGAAGTGACCACACACATCCGACCAGCCCCCATGGTCCACCAACACGCCCCACACCACTCGCCAGCCCACGCCAACCACTGAGACGAGCCCCTCCCCCGCGCTGGTCTGACGCGACAGCTGGTCTACAAAGCGCTCCACCCGGCGACCCGAGCCGATGTCAAACGGCGTGGGAAGACTGTGCCGCATAACTCTCGGGTCATGCGGCACAGCCTACCGGTACCAGGCGGCTGCTGTCAATGCTGAGCCATAGGAACCCGGTGGATAAAGAGTATCAACCTGTACACGATAACGTTCTATCAACCTGTACACGACTGTACTTGTTTTTTTTTTAGAAAAAAAAAAGATGAAAAGAATGCTCGTGTATTCTGACAGCGGCTGGCTTCAAGCTGCACACTTGATGGC